GATAAGTTTGTAATCTCAATTCCAATTAAGTAACTTTTGTGCTTTATGTTGTTACTTGTAATTTCCCGATGCTGTGCTAGTTCGAATCGCCCGACCTGTGTTGGAAGATGGGCTTCTATGGGATGCATCGACACTGCCGGGTATTCATTATGATTGTAGACTACTTGGTTAGTGGCAATGGAGTCTAGGAGGCACATTTCGTTTTGTTTTGGACTCATCAGTCGGATGCACCTGCACCGCAGTGAGTGGTGTCCCTACTGACACTCACTTCAAACACCAAAGCGCTGACCACCAGTAACAAACTACAGTAGTTGAAAAATATTTTCTTCCTCTTTCTCTTAAATGTGGACGTCAGTGTGTTGGTTTAAAACGTTTCATCAAGTTGCAACTATTTTGATGCAGTATCTAAAATTTGTGTACTAATCTTCATCGGGTTGTTTCAGTATAGCATAGACTTTCATTGTAAAGTGTTACATTCCAACAAAAGTAATTAGAACTGTATTTTTTCAAGGTTATTCTGTTATGTACAATTTTAAACGTGTATAAATCATCTCACACTGCTATGACGTTTGCTAACCAGTCCAAAATAGTGGAAATCTGTTAGATATATTACAATTTATACAGCTGATCAAAGTGTATCATTGTCACCATTGATTAAGAATCTTGTAAATAAATACCCGCTAAATTTATTAGTTTCACGTGCATCGACATAAAATTATTTCATAGCACTGAAAATTCCCAATTAGAAAAATTTAGAAAAACGCTGAGCGAAGACCTACATTCAGTTAGGTCTTCATCATCCTTTCTACACTATATATATCATGAGTATGAAAATTGAATAGTCAGTCAAGCCTCCATTAACCTGAAATCAGTGTAGAGATCTACTGTACTCAGCATAAAGAACAAGATTCAGATTTTAAACACTAATTCAGTCGTCAGTGATTCTATGTGATGGTTGAGACTTAACGAGTCATGAAAAGCATTTCCAAGAAACTGCAGACATACATCAATAGCTGTCTACGCTCGATACTCACGATCAGATGACCAGAATGATAACAATAAGCAACAAGGAACTCTAACTGGCTGGCAACAAACCAACCAACCGAGAACCTATCCACCAACAAATATGCAGTAGAAGAAGTAGAGATTGGATTGGATTGGTCATACACTGAGAAGACCATTTGGGGACATGACCCGCCAAGCCGTCGAGTGGAACGCAAATGGGAAACGACGAATTGGGCGTTCTTAGGTGACATAGAAGAGATCATGTGAGGAAGGAATGGAAGCCTCTGGGCAGTCGTGGAGCCAGGTTGAAAAGACTGGAGAGAAAGAGTGAAATGGAGACACACTACTGAAGCCTTATGTTCCACTAGGAAACCGATAGGAAAAAAAATAATGATAATAGTTGTCATACACAGAGGAGCGTATATTTTAACAGTGACTTATCAATTCGGTCCAGTCAACGATGGAGATTCACAAGCTTTAGCATCAAAAAACTACTGTACCGTCGCACAATGATTGGCCTAATGTATAGCGCTCTGACATTTCAAACGATTTGCTTTGGATTCGAGTCTTAGTGGAAACAACATATCTCACTGGAAGTCAGGTACATCCATTTTGACGAGTTCTAGGTAGAGCGACACATACATACTAGATTTCACTGTTAGCCATTACCACCATTTATATGAAAGCCTATCTTTGTTAGGATATCTTCTGTGCTATCTGTTGGGTAATGGACTATTCTACTGACAATCTCTATCCATATAGTTCCTAGAGCGATATAGTATCAATCAGGTTACTCACAGTAGTTCATCGTTATTCAGATTAACACACTAGTCACATTGAATAGTCTACTACCAGTATACTTACTCAACCAATGAATACAAAAATTCCCATTTAGACATTTAGTAAAACAAATAATGTATAAGCGAAGAAATATTTCTTTTCATTAGTTTCCTCATCAATTGCTCTACACTAAGATATGTAGCATTTTCAAAACGTAAAATTACATATCAATCTAGTGGTGAGAGTTGTTTAATGAAAGGTTATCAATCTCAAAGTATCAAGAAGGTGATAATTGATCAGGTAATTAAGACAATTAACTAAAGTATAGATTAATTATAGTAGAAAGATTTTGTGAAATTTTAAACAGGTTCTTACACATATAGTAATGATGGGTAGTGGCTAGCAGTGGAATCAGGACGCGTATATCGTCCTATTTGGGACTCGTCAGCTGGATGTACCTGCCTCCCAGTGAGTGATGTTGTTCCCACCAGGACTCGGATTTGGAAGCGACCACCTCGGACGCCAGGTCGTCATCCACTACACCACCGAGCCACGATATCCACTTCTTGTGCGACCGGTATAGGTTTAGTGTTATTGCTTGTAAGAGGCAGGTACATCCAGTTGACGAGTCCCAAATAGGACGAAATGCGCATCCTGGATTCCACTGCTAGCCACTGCTCACCATTACTATACGTAGTTAAAAGACAGGCAATATCGAGGCATCCACACAGAAGCCCATGTGCCAACAGAGACTGGTCAATTCGGTTCAATCAACGACGGTGTAATACAAGAAATAACACTAAGGTTCTTACATAATTGATATTTCGCATAGTGGTAACTAAAGAGCGAAAACGAACTGTTACGTAAAGTGATAAGTTGTTGACGGCAATTGAAGACAGGGGAGAAGAAGATGGCTAAAACTGTAATAATAATAATAATAATAATAATAATAATAATAATAATAATAGAGCTATTAAAATATTAGTTATAATCAATTGTGGGTTGAATGAAATGAAGGGTGTTGTTGTAATAAATAAGCCATACAGATGGACAAGACAAAGAAAGAGACTGTACAAATCCCTTCTGAACATACAGACTTAGCTTGCTTAGGTGGATTCCTATGGCTTCTGTTGTATGTAAAAGACGAACTCGTAGAGCGTGAATGAGGTTAGGAATGTAATAAATGAATATTAACTCGGTGGCCAGTTTCAATCGATTTGGTTTTCCCCTTACTTAGCCATTAAAGGTGATGCTTGGCGATTCGACGACGGACTTGCCTAGTGGTGACCCTATAGACAGTCAGATGGTGTTGCTATGTTGCTATATAAGAACTTGTTTAAAATTTCACAAAATCTTTCTACTATAATTAATCTATACTTTAGTGAATTGTCTTAATTACCTGATCAATTATCACCTTCTTGATACTTTGAGATTGATAACCTTTCATTAAACAACTCTCACCACTAGATTGATATGTAATTTTATGTTTTGAAAATGCTACATATCTTAGTGTAGAGCAATTGATGAGGAACGAATTAAAAAGAAACCAATGAATAATCATAGCAACTCTAAGCCAGTTAATTCATTATACATTCCATTCGCAACAGTACTATCCAAATAGTTACCTTTTAATCGATACTGTAGTGGTTACATAAGCTTTCCATGTGTTCATTGATAAAATCTAAGAAGTTCTCGTTAATTAAAAATATTAAAGCTTTTTTTGGAGAGATTGAAAAGTGGATAAAGTACAACAGTACTAATAAAGAAGTAAATGCTTGTGAAGTTAAATGGAGAGGTTACTTTACAGAACATACTTTTAATAATTCACTGAATTTATTTGAATGTCAACATCCTCTGATTCTGTTTCAATAACAGAAGTGATGATCATCGTGTGAAGGTTTTTTTTTCCACTAAAAAATAAAACTTCTTAGGTAACACATAATCTAAAGAAGTGAATATATATGTAACGTACTGTATCCTTTTCAGCTCTTGAAAATACATATTTTAACCAATTAATTCTTGTATTGAATAAGGGGAGAAACTTGAAGGTTTGTACATGTATTACAGTGTTTATTTCTTATTCATTTGGGTTAGTTGCCGATGAAATCTCTACACGGATACAAAAGGCTCGATTGGCTTTTGCCAATTTACGCCACCTATGGTGCCGCCGTGATATCCGTTTGTCTATTAAGGGTAATGTGTACTGCAAAGCAGTCCGGTCTGTTCTACTGTATAGCTGTGAAATATGGCCATTGAAAGTGGAAGATATGAGAAGGCTTCAAGTGTTTGACCACCGTTGCCTTCGTAGTATACGCCGTATTCTGTGGTATCACCACATGAGTAATGCAGAAGTTGGATGTAGAGTTTTAGGGAGAAGAAGTAAGTCAGTTGACGAGGTTGTGAACCTTCATCGATTGAGATGGTTGGGACACGTACTACGTATGCCCAGCCGCCGATTGCCTTGTCACACAATATTGGCGGAAGTAGTGCAGGCTGGAAAAGGTCGGAGGTGGCCAGACTAAAATATGGCACTAATGTATGAATTTCTGACTGTTGGTTTGAGCCATGTGGGGTGATGCAGACTGTGTGGTTGGGGTCGCGGGACAAGAGTAACCAGTGGTTGGAGACTGACTCTATGTGATATGGCTGAGAACCGAAGTCAGTGGGACAGATAAATCCCCACACACATTATCCTTATGTTAACGACGCTATACCGGATCTCACCATTTTGTCATTCCTCCTTCCTTTCTCCTCGTACTTAATATTTCTTTTGACTGAATTTTCTTATCTCCATCCTTCACCTCACTACCTTTCTACTTGATGTAGTGATATGAGGTGTGGTAACTCGGACCGTTACGCAGTAATGCCTGGTCCTATGTTGATATTGATTGATTATTCATTTGGGGTAATTTATGAATTTAAAGGTTCATTCATTTCACCTCATAATCTAAATATTCACTGGATCAAGTTGGTCAATGCTTGACTAATATATAGTCAATTTTTATCAGAATATCTTTACAGTACTAATTCATGAGATGTAAAGTTGTTTAACTTACTGTATCCTTGACCTTCTGATTTCCACTTTTTTGAAAATTGTCAGAATTTCATCAATATTTTAGCTTTGATTCTCAACTATTAAGACTTTCATATATTTTTACAGTTTTTCCTTATTATCGTTACGTTTTCTTTTTTTTTTCTCTCTCTCTCTTTACAAGACATTTGCTAGCACTTAATCACCTAGATCCTGAAAAGTATGAGTCTTCGAATAACTTACATAAAACACCCTTGACAGCCTCTTCATTATCATTATCAAGCAATACTGCTGGTGGTGGTATGGTCCAGCCTAAATTATGTTGGTCTGCATCACCCCGATTAAATTCATTATCATCAATGAGAAATGCTTCATGTAATCAACATCCTTCAGTAAGTCAATTGATTCCACACCTTGTTAAATCTGCTGAATTATTCTTATCTCTTGCCAATACATCATCATCGTCTAATGATAAACTGATAGAATCTAGACATCATTCAAGAACAAGTTCAGAGGTTGGTATGAATACATCGTTGAGAGAAGAGAAGAGAAAGAAAATATCAAGTGTATCATATTGGTATGTATAAATTTTGCCAGTATATATTAATTTCGGTTGCGTTTTTTTTCTTTTCTGTAGTGTAGTATTATTATTACCTTTTGGGGCCATGGTCGCTTATTGGTCAGGGCTTTTCGATTAAGTTTCTGAATTTCACCTAAAACAAATTCGTTTACAAGTTCTATTTGCTGATATTCCTGATTGTAGTGGACTGCATCATGCAACAAACTGTGAGGGGCGAGGAGAGGAAGATACGCCGGACAGCAGAAAAGAACCTAGAAGATTTGGATTTCGCCCATCACTTCTGTCTGGTGTCTTGTGGTACAAAATTGAATATCTACAGTCGAAAACTAACGAGTTGACAGAAAAGGTGAGGCAGGGCAGGGCAGCGAAGATGGGACTTCAAGTGAATATACAGATGAGAGAAGTGATGGAGACACCCAACCAACACCACCATCACCACCACCACCAACAACAACAACAATCACCATCAACGGGAGAAACTTAAAGGAAGTAACCTCCTTCACCTATCTAGGCAGCACTGTTCCAACTAAAGGCGGCACAGGCACAGACGAGGATGTCAAAGCTAGCCAGGATCGGAAAGGCAGTAAGACAGACGTTGATTAGCCTGAAACCAGTTTGGTGATCTTCTGCACTCAGCATAAAGCGTAAACAGGATCCGGATTTCGAACACCAATGCCAGTGAAGTGAGTGCTTCTGTGTGATGGTTGAGAGACTTGGTGTGTTACGAAAATCACTTCCAACAAACTACAGACATTCACCAACAACTGCCTACACTGGCTCGTTACTGAGGATCAGATGGCGAGAATACTAAGAATGAGGAACAAGGAACTCTGGCTGGCTGGCTGGCTGGCTGGTAACGAACCAACCAACCCATCAACGAAGCAAGAACCTATCGTTGAACAAATATGCAGAAGCAGGAATTGGAGATGGATTGGGGGTGCACTGAGAAGACCATTTGGAGACATGACGTGCCAGGTCAGGCCAGGCCAGTCCATGGAGTGGAAGCGAGATGGTAAGCGATGAGTTGGGCGTCGCAGCAGATGATGATATGGAGGAGGTTTAAAAGATTTCAGAGAAGAGAGTGGAATGGAGACGTGGTATTGAAGCCCTATGTTCCATTAGGAACCCAAGGGACAAATAATAAATAAACAAATAAATAATTTGCTGAGTTTTCCTGTAACTTTAAGCAAATATGAATGTTGTGCTTTTACGTTTTCAATAGTTCAGTAATATACTACCTTCAATTATCTGAGGTCTATTAAAACACGTAGATTAGGTTATTTGAAGTAACACCTTCAATGATATACTCATCTGAATCATTGAGGAATGATGATTGACAGTGAAATGGAACTTAGGTTATTAATATTGGCCATTATAGATTTACCTCGACTAGTTTTAACTCTATTACAATTCAGAGTTGTCATCGATTGGAATTGTAATCTTGTTAAAGGGTATCAATCAATTTTGTCATGACTTAATATACTTTACATAATGATTAGGCTATATTTATTGATTGTTTATTGATAATCAGCTGATTACAAATGAAGTGACAAAGTGGAATAATGAGAATTATCCGAATGATACTAATACAAAGGGATACATCGACTGAATATATAAATGATGACTGTTCTCCTACAGTGATTTATACTTTACTGGGGCTTCAGAAATATCAGAATACCGAGACTGATCTGTAACTGTAAGGAAGACACTTTATTCGGCAAAAAAATACATCATTTATATACAGTTTTCATGAACATATATAACCATTAGATCAAAAGTCAAGTATAGAATAAAATTGTCCTATAAAGTTTTTACTGATTACACACACACTAAACACAAAGACTTTCATCATATCAGCTGATTTCCATTTAGGCTACTTCTCATCAAGATGTAAAGAATCAACCCGTTGAACTCAAGATGACAATATTCAATTTATGCTTTAAATCATTATTTAAAGTAAATGATTGTTCGAATATATGTATTTTTATCTTTCAATCTGGTGTTTAGTTGAAACGGATAGGTTTGTGACATATTTGAGCCTAATCACCCTTTTTTGTCTTCTAACTTTAGTCAACGTATAACGTTGATGTATGAATATATGCAAGTGAATCCAATGGCTTACTTTACTTAGAATCTTAACATTCCTCACTGTGCGGTTCCAGCGCATACAAGTCGTCCTGTGACCTTAGAATTCGTCTTATTATTTGACTCTTATGGTTGTTCTCGAAGTGAATGGATGGGATAGTCAATTTCAGTGTCATGCTGATTAGTATTATTATTATTAGTCCCTTGGGTTCCTAATGGAACATAGGGCTTCACTAGCACGTCTCCATTCCACTCTCTTCTCTGCAAACTTTTCAACCTGGCTCCACGATAGCCAACAAACTCTCATTTCCTCCTCACACCATCTCCTCCATGTCACCTCAGCTGGGATGCCCAACTCATCGCTTACCATCTCGGTTCCACTCCACGGACTGGCCTGGCCTGGCACGTCATGTCTCCAAATGGTCTTCTCAGTGCATCCTCAATCCATTTCCAATTCCTGCTTCTGCATATTTGTTCAGCGATAGGTTCTTGCTTCGTTGGTTGGTTGGTTCGTTACCAGCCAGCCAGCCAGCCAGCCAGCCAGCCAGCCAGCCAGCCAGCCAGCCAGCCAGCCAGCCAGCCAGCCAGCCAGCCAGCCAGCCAGCCAGCCAGCCAGCCAGCCAGCCAGCCAGCCAGCCAGCCAGCCAGCCAGCCAGCCAGCCAGCCAGCCAGCAGTCAGCCAGCCAGTCAGCCAGAGTTCCTTGTTCCTCATTCTTAGTATTCTCGCCATCTGATCCTCAGTAACGAGCCAGTGTAGGCAGTTGTTGGTGAATGTCTGTAGTTTGTTGGAAGTGATTTTCGTGACACACCAAGTCTCTCAACCATCACACAGAAGCACTCACTTCACTGGCATTGGTGTTCAAAATCCGGATCCTGTTTACGCTTTATGCTGAGTGCAGAAGATCTCCACACTGGTTTCAGGCTAATCAACGTCTGTCTTACTGCCTTTCCGATCCTGGCTAGCTTTGACATCCTCGTCTGTGCCTGTGCCGCCTTTAGTTGGAACAGTGTTGCCTAGATAGGTGAAGGAGGTTACTTCCTTTAAGTTTCTTTCGTTGATGGTGATTGGAGCTTTGTTGTTGTTGTTGGTGGTGGTGATGGTGGTGTTGGTTGGGTGTCTCCATCACTTCTCTCATCTGTATATTCACTTGAAGTCCCATCTTCGCTGCCCTGCCCTGCTCTGCCTCTTCTGTCAACTTGTTAGTTTTCGCCTGTAGATCTTCAAGTTTGTACCACAAGACACCAGACAGAAGTGATGGGCGAAATCCAAATCTTCTATGTTTTTTTCTGCTGTCCGGCGTATCTTCCTATCCTCGCTCCTCACAGTTTGTTGCATGATCCACTCCACTACAATCAGGAATATCATGAGGGATAGTAGGCAACCTTGTTTCACTCTTGTCTTCACTTCAAAAGCATACTTGAGCTTCCCATCGTGAATTACTTGGCATTTGGCGTCTTCATATTTTTTCTTGAATGAGGCTGAGAAATGTTTGCCGTATTCCGTAGTATTGAAGCAGTTTCCAAATAACCTCTCTTGTAGTTTCGTTCTTCAGTTTCCATTCTGGGTGTTGTACTTGAACTGTGGTCTATCACCAGCTTCCTTGAAGGCTTTTAACTTGATTTGGAAGGTCCATTGCACTAGATAGTGAGTGATGTGAACCTACATCTGCTCTCCTTCTTGACCTTGTATCAAGTAGGCTGCGTCTCTATTTTGTTGAGATTGAGATGAAGTCGATTTGATTTCTAGTGTAGAGTGTCCTGGTGTCTGATGAAATCAAATCCGTGTGGCTTTGTGGATATCCTTGTGCTTGAACGCAGTGCTTCGCCTCCAATCACCAAATCGTTGAATGCACTTCAAGATAAGTTTGTAGGTTAAAGATCCTATTGATCCAATTAAGCATAATAACTTAGTTTACCAAATCCCCTACAACGATTGGGAAATCAAATATATAGGTCGAACTAGTGGGCCGGGGTCTGCCGATTAGGCTATGGGTACACAAAAACTTAGCTACATCAAAATTGGTAGATCCTACTAAGATGAGGAATTTAGAAAAAAGCCCAGACATAGCTATGTATGCAATTACACACAACCATACAATAAGCTGGCTGAGATGGGATAGGGTGAAAATTCTTAAAACTAATATAAGAGGATGGAGGGAGAGATTGATAACTAAATCTTTGTTTATCAAATCAACACCTAATACATGCAACAGGAATGAGTCAGCACCTGTTCTGGATATATGAAAAATCTTACTACCCACCTCACAAAGAGACGAGGGAATTAGGACTGTATAAAGGATATCTCATAGTTGTGTAGTTATCTTGATATGATGACTATGGACAACATAAATTATGTCCGAAACGTAATCCAGTAAACAATACTGTTCCACGGTATGTGGTAAATCTAATAAATCAGTAAAAATGGACTCATGTTTTCCTCATAATATCATTTTATAGTATATCGTGTTATAACCATCTAATTTCATTCCTAATGAGTTTTCTTATTGTTTATTGTTATTTTCTCATTAGTTTTTACTTAATGTTAGTCGGTAATGAAAAGTTTATCTCTCTTCTAGATTAAAATGTGCTAGGTAACCTTTTATTGATCTTTCTTTTCCTTATAGTCCTGTTGAAAAATTACGTAATAATTCAAAAGAATTCATCTTCACTGGTCTCACACCTAATACTGATCCATTGAAAAGTATAAATTTACACGATAATGACAACAGAACTGATGAATTCACAGATGATGAAATGAATAAAGGTTTGAATAGTAATGAATGGGTAGTTATTCGTACTGTACATCCTATCCTATTGACAGATAATTATCCAGAATTAATAAATTATATTAAAAATGCTAGTTTACGTGTATCACGTCGACGTCAAGCGTGTAAATCATGGCATTCACAATATTGGCCTAAAACTACTGAAATAACTAATATAAGTAGTAGTAGTAGTAGTAAGTGTACACCAGTAACAGATGATATATTAGAACTGCAAGAAAGACAAGCACAACAGGATTTATATAAGACAACATCTTCAAACTATCTAAATGATTGTTCATTATCACCATCAACAAAATATCATGCAAAAATAATTGAAGAACATGAAAAATGTTTGAAAAATGACAATGAAGATGTTGATGATATTGGAATTGGTGTATATGATTCATCATCTTCTTCAGTACACCTTCATTCATTATCTCTTCAACATGCTTCATCATTATACCAATTGAATTATTTAAATGATTTTTCAGATGAAGAAAATTGTCATGAAAATGATAAGGAGGATAAACATGTAGATACTACTACTACTACTACTACTTATAATAATTTTACTGTTGATACCGTTGAAAGAGAAGATAACAATAATCTTCTGTCTATTTCAACTGATAGAAATTTACCTCATGCTTGTTCAATGGAATCGTTTCATTCAATTAATCATAGTAAAGTGAATTCATCACAATTGTCAAAATTGGCACCGAAATTTAAAAATTATCCAGAGAAACAAATGAATAAGGCAGAGGTAACAGTAATGAAGAAGAATGTTGATCATGATGATATGTTATTTCTCTAGAATTCCTATGGATCTATATTCTCCTTCTTTAATCAATTCATCATCCAATTGTACATGTCTATCAACATTACCAGATTTATTAAGATTAGCTCATTTAGATGGAAATAGTATACAGGTGAATAATCATAATTCTTTCATCTCTATACCATATAATGTATCATATTTAAACAATGAAATTGTTAATGATAACATTAACAAGAATGAAAGGAGAGAATATGAATTAGAGAATTTCTTAGCTGCGCTTGATTGTTTACCATCACCTGGACATTGTACAAAACATTTTGGACATTTATCACCATTTATATCATATAGTAAAATTGATGATAACTTTTTAAAAAAGTTAGATGAATATATAAAAGAATTTGAACAATCACAATTGAATATTGATACATTGACATCGAATATCACTACTATTACTACTTCTATTACAAATGCTAAGAATGAAAATGTTAGTAGTAATTATGATGATGAGATAGTTGACTCAAAATATTTGAAAGAGAATATGTTAACATCTTCAACAACAACAGTCAAACTTTCTACTGATTGCCTAGACTGTGTATCATTGAATAAACGAGAATCAATACATTCAGACAATAATAGTAGTTGTAGTAGTAATGGAGGTGGTGGTATTGGATACAGTTATTCACATCTAACTGATTTCTCATCGACTTCATCATCTCAATCAGCAAGGCATAATTCTAATTCAATTGGTGTAGCTGGTGGTATAGGTAAGCTATTGTTAACCTATTCAAATATATGTATATATTAATGTGATGAATTGAGCATATATTTTATTCCAATGTGGTTTTCTTCACTAACTGGTGTTATTTGGATGACTATTGAATATCTGGGAATACTGGTTGGATATCTTGTTCTAATTTACACACTAATGACTATTTCACCAACAGTCTACATTTCCCTACTTCTATCGATTCGTTAGTGAATGACTATCCACTGTTCCCAGGTTTTTCCGGAATGGTTCTCTAAATGATGTAAGTTATGATGAAGACTGCTTTCATATCAACCCAGTTCTTGTGAATTACTTCTTTATTCAAAAATCACATCATGGAGTTAGATTGCATTTCATCTATTCGGTGCACTTGTATAGTAGTATTATGATCTATACAGTAATGAAAAATTGATATACCTTGCTGCGTTATACCCTCTTCTTCACTGTAATATGATGCCCTTAAGATGGAATACATTATAAGGCAACAATAGTTTAGTGTTCGATGTGCCCCATAACAGTGACCAAGCAGTCTATTTGATAGCTAGCACTGGAATACAAGACGCCTGTTTCGTCCGGTTTAGGACTCATCAGCTAGATGCACCTGTACCCTAGTAACTGATGTTGTTTCCACTGAGGCTCCAACCAAGTACCCATCACTTCAAACGCTGAAGCTTTATCTACTAAGCCACTGGGGTATGAGACTTATCACTTGTACAACGAGTATCTGTGGTTTTCTATTGACACTTTAATTTCCCGTTCCTTCATTGAATTGTTTGACCTCTATTGACAGATGAGCCCTTTTACAGATGCCTCGTTACTGTCTGAATATTCATTATATTGTGGTCTGATACCCGTTGCACAGTTGGTGGGTCTCGTGCTCTCAGTATATGATTAACAATCAGCTCAGTCATATCTTTAGCAACATTCACACGATTAGATTTGTTTATTTGATATTAGTGCACAATGATACAGTATTATTGGCAATAATTTATACTCTAAACGTCATCAACTTAATAATACTGTATCACTGTGTGCTGTTGACCAAATAAATAAATAATGTGGAATTACATCTTACCACACTTCCAAGTTTTACGTGTATTAATTCACGTAGTTACTCAGACAGATGCACCTGAGTACCACTAAGCACATACCATACTTATGGATAGTGATCACTAACCGATTGAGTAGCCTGTATATTGAAGCATAGTAAAACATCACCTGAATACTCAGAGTTTAAACAGGTCTACAACATCATCGAAATCGGGCAACTCCCTGTCTAACTCCACTATTGGTTTTGAACTGTTAAAATAAGTGGCTATATACCTTCACTCTCTACTTGAGGTGTTTGCCAACTCCTCTGTGGTACTCCTCTATAAACGATAATTCCAGAGTAAAACCCTGTCTAACTAGTCGAAAGCTGGTTAGCCTACAATGTGGTCAGTTTTCGAGCATCTACTAGAGAGTGAACACGATTATTGCATCCATAATATGAACGACATCCGGTCTATGCCCTTTGTAGATCAATTTTTCACGCGTTTTGCATAGTCTGCGACCTATGATAGCGATAGTTAAACTTGTTTAACTTTCTAATTCAGCTAAATCGTATTGGTAAGTCTGTTCTATGAGTCACGATCATGTAAAGGAGAATTTCAAGAAATGTCTAGGCATTGTGATTGGAAATATTGTGAGATCTAGTAATGATATCTTACGGTGTACTGCATTTGAATGCAGATCTAGTTTTTATCTGAAGGATTATCACATTTCTGTTCAAGGAATTGGCAATGTTTTCCGAGATGATTGCTACAATCGTTTGAATGTAATGGTCAAGTGTATTTTGATAGAGAACAACAAGAAACGTATCATGAATTCATATGATAGTAGTATAATGATTGAAGTAAAATGAAGATCTAGTCAACAGCTGGGTATCATAGCTCAGTTGGTCGGTAACTTCGAAGGTAGCTGGTTCGAATTCTCTTGCGACTCAAATTTTCATTTCACTTTCAATCATTAGCCAGTTTAAATGTTATTCTGTTTCTTGGCCCATCGTTTTAGTTCATTTTCATAATGTATAACATATTTGGTAAGTAATACCTGTTTACTTACTAACTATTCCATGTACAATATGCTTTATTTGTTTTAATCTAATATGTATATTCGCTTTCTTTCCTTTTTCTTTTTCAAAAAAGGTCCTTTTTTGTCTATTCTCCTGAATCGTTTAGCCAATATGCATAATAATTGCTTTTTCACTAACCTATTGCTTACGGATATATTTTCTGCATTGGCTTCTTATCCGTGCCCATTACTGTATGAATTTTTGCTGAATCCTGCTGGTTTAAATGTTAAGCCATCTGTGAATACTCTTTACAAGGTAAGTAAGTATCATACTTTGCAGTGGTTTCAATAGTGACTTCAGTGAAGATTGTAATAAAGTTTATTTGCTTCAGCTTATGAACCAGAATTGAAGTACTTGTTAAATGAATTATACCTTAGACATTATCAAGTATAATCTAATATTCAAGTTGAACCTCATGGATCAGTTGGTAAAGCATCGGGCTGGAAACCCAGTAGTCACTGGTTCAAATCCGACTGTGGTCCAAATCCTCATTTCATCTTCAATCATCACCTACTATAAATATTGTGTATGAGAGCTTCTGGGCAGTCATGGGGCCGGGTTCAAAAGATTATACAGAACAGAGTGGAATCCAGACACGCTACTGTTCCACCAGGAACCCAAGGAACAAATTATATATATATATATATATATATATATATATATATATATATATATATATATATGAGAGCATAGTGAGGTGTTTGTACTGTCAAGAATTTAAAAATTATCGACGGGAATATTTCTACGAGGTAGTATATTTCCGATTTGAGTGAAAAAATCTCACATAAGCTTTACATAGAATCATTATCAGGTGTTTTGGTTCTTCTTCTTACCTTAGGATTTACTTAAAACAGTGTAGTAAGCATATGTTGAACCATACAGTATCCCGTTATTTGTTGTATCACTGAAAATACAATTAGATAAAACGTTCTACCATCTAATAAATTAAACTTTACCATATACTAGAAGATAAGCTTAATAGGAAGTAACTGTATGCGGCTCGTAACTGAAGGTTATTATGAAAATGCGATGCTTAAAAATTTCACAAAATACGCAAAAGTTGAAGGGGTAATATATTGAATTGAGAAATGAAAACATGTTATTAAAAGAAAACCCTTTTTGTAACAAGTTTATACCCGGAAAAATAAGGTTGTGGGATATCTGATTTAACAAAATTACTACTTCATTATAAAACGTTGCATAAATAAAGGGAGAAAAAACTTTGACAACTGAAATACAACTGAAGTGGAAGTAAACAGCTAATCCTTGTAAATCACATATACGATTATTATTGTTATTTGTCCCTTGGGTTCCTAATGGAACATAGGGCTTCACTAGCACGTCTCCATTCCACTCTGTTCTCTGCTATCTTTTGAACCTAGCTCCACGACTGCCACAAGCTCTCATTTCTTCTTCACACGATCTCCTCCATATCACCCTCAGCTGGGATGCCCAACTCGTCGCTTACCATCTCGGTTCCACTCCACGGACTGGCCTGGCCTGGCACGTCATGTCTCCAAATGGTCTTCTCAGTGCATGCCCAATCCGTCTCCACTTCCTGCTTCTGCATATTTTTTGAGTGGTAGGTTCTTGTTTGGTTAACTAGTTCACTAGTTACTAGCTGGTCCTAAACCCGGGTAAAGAGGGAAGGTTAGGCATAAGGCTAGCAACCCTACCCCGTAAAACCAATCCAACCGCTACAGAAACTTCAAATCACATATATTATACATTGTCTTTTGATTTAATTACTCTCTTTGGACATAGTTTAGACCTCTTCTGAGGCCTAACTATGAGATACTAGAAGTAATAATTGCGTGAGTTGGTTCCCAGTTATTCGCCAACTCTTTCGTGTAATAACCGTTATTACTAGCTTGGCATTAATGAAGTTTGTGCACAGAGCAAATAAGTGTAGTCACCAAGCCTGATGACTTAACATCACTGTGCACTATAATATGTTTTTGGATGATGGTTTTTCGAACCAGTCAGTGCTCAACACAGGAATATATCTGCATATTTCGGTAAATTCATGCTTGCTTCAAAATTCCAACCCATTGGATATGATATATATTGTATGGAAATTGTTGATCTACTTCTTAGAATACAGTTTTATTAAGACTATTATTTTGTTCTATGAGATATCAGCTGTCTTATAGTATTGCCATGGTAATGTAGGTCAGCAGTGGAAAAAAAACTAAATGAATTCTACACAACTTTAGATGATACATGTTTCTTGTTTTCGGTTACTCAGGAACATGTTTTGCTGAATGTTTGGATTAAATATACTCTAAATTCCAGTACTTTCAACGTTGATGCTGGTGAGCAACAATTCGTAACTCACAGGAAGCAAGGATTTCCTTAGTATCGATAAATTTCACTAATTATGTAGTAGAAGTCCTGTAGGCGCAGATCCCATTTCTGTGCCACATGATGTGCAGTTTCTTGTTTAAATATCCTGCTTACTCATCTTGGTTGATGAAATGCGAATATAATATTAAGGAGGACAAGAGCTTTAGTTTTCTAGCCAAGACACTTCAGCATTATCCAGTGATTAGTAACGAATTCAAAGCGTATTCCACACATCGGTAAGCAAATCAAACCTTCTGGTGTCATACAAGAGTTTTAGTTCATAGTTCATTATACAGATCTATACGTGATCATCGACTTGGATTGATATTAAGTATCAGTCTAACCACCATTTCGGTGTAGAATTTCTCCGTTTCGCTTTTATCTACTTGTTAGTGTTAACCTATTCACCTGGGACTTAACTATAAGGTATGATATGCTACTTTTGACAGATTGATCCTCCTAATTAATTAGATGGTGATTGAAGTTGAGCGAAATCCTGGGTCTTAAGCTGGTTTGAAGTAGCCTCTGGGTAACTGGTTTATGACTCTACCAAATAAGCTGTGATATGTAACTGCTGATCACCTTTTATACTAAATTATTGTTAGTGTTATCTTGTTTCATCTCTTTTCTTTGTTCTCTTCTATGTGTTTAGGTGCTTCGATCAGTTAATAGTCAAATTGTCGTCGCTTCAGAGTCTGTTGAACAGTGGAAATCACTTGTATTTCGTGCACGTGTTTATTTAAATACTGTTTGGCCAGGTCCTTTTAAAATGACAATAGATCCAAATTTCTATGCAACAAAAGGTGGTGTGCAAAAGATCAACAAAACGAAAACAACACCATCAAGTCGTCCATCGAGAGGTGTGTTTAAAATTTCGTTTTGAGTATTTATCCTAGGTGATAATTCAAGATGAAATGAAAATTTGGACCGCGGTCGAATTCGAACCAGCGACCACTAGGTTTGCCGTACTTGATGCTCTACCAACTCAGCTACGAGGCAGAGCACTGGGCTGGAAACCCAGGGGTTGCTGGTTCAAATTCGACCGCGGTCCAAATTTCCATTTCACCTTCAATCATTACCCAGTATCAATACTAGTCTGTCAAACCACTGCTATCTCAGATAGTCAAAATGATATTCGTCTTAATATACTAGTAAGACTTGGGCACTGTGGTCGATTATAATTTCATTTCAGTCTGATATGAATATGGATAATAAATTGTGTCGGAAACGTTATCTAGTAAATGATACTGTTTCACTGTGTGACATTTCTAATAAACAGACTAAAATGGAATTATATTCGTTTTAAGTTTTTGTTAGTCATATCTTCCAAGCTGAGATGAGTGGTAGCATATATCATTCGGTGTTGCACAAGTTACTCACATACATACTAAAACATTTATGGTTAGTAAGTTTAACGGTTATTTATAGTGTTTTACCTGCTGTGTTTATTTTGAACGTGATTGGTCAATTTTGTTTGTTTAAACAGTTGTCATCTGATTGGTTTATTTTGATTGGTCCATTTTAATAATTCGAATGATTGGATCATTCTCTTCTTTTTAAACTCATTTGGCCTCTATTTTATTTGCATTGGGTGATGATTGAAGATGAGGTGGAAATCTGGACCGCGACCGGGTTCTAACCAGCGATCACTGAGTTACCGACCCAGTGCTCTACCAACTGAGCTCTGAGGTCCGACTGCTGACCAGAATTTTGTTTCGCTTCAATCACTAAGAGTTTTGCCCTACTACCATGTGAATTTGTGACGCGTTACTACCGCTTGATCGTATTCACACTGGCTGCCTGGTCAGGACTTTCATCCCAATCCAAATCTAACTGAATCAGAGAGGGGAGCATCATATTGATTATGACTTGACTATCTGAGATAGCCATAGTTTGGCAGACTAGTATTTGTACTGGGTGATGATTGAAGGTGAGATGAAAATCTGGGCCGCGGCCGGTGCGAACCAGCGACCACTGGGTTACCGGCCTGGTGCTCTGCCAACTGAGCTGTACTGAGTTTTCCCATTCGAGTAGTGTCTCATTTTAGACGATGAAATTGTGAAACCAACTGTGTAAACTTGGGTCTCATGATTAATTCGACCAGTTCTCCTCTCATAATCATCGCTACTTATTCACAAACACTGAATTAATTTTAGCGTGATTAATATTCATGTTTCTGATGCATCTCATCATATACCTAGTCGGCCGAGAAACAAATATGTTCAGAGTTTAAACTCCAGGCAAACAAAATAAACGAATCAGGGTACCGATGAGACTGAAGACAGATTTATACCTTACTATAAATATGCGGAATCTATGTCCTACCTAGAGGACATAAATTATACAACTTCTTATGACGACAAACAAACTGTTATGATTTGTATCATGTGATTAATATAGGTAACTGGAAACGCAACCTTATCAGTTTCACGTATTGAAATTCAGGACGTACGTTTCTTCCTATTTGGTACTCGTCAGATAGATGCGTCAGCACCTCAGTGAGTGATTTTATTCCTAGTGAGACTAGAACGTAGTAACCATCACCTCAAACCCGGAAGCTTACCAGCTATCTTTACTGCTGTTTCTATAACACACTGAATGCCACTCTAGGTTTCCTCAGGATGAGCATTACTGTCAATTTCAGATAAATACTTAGCTATCTTTTTTAAAAATAATCTTCCAGTCAAGCATACCGAGATCTAACTGCTGTTTCTTGTATCCATTAGTGAACAAACATAAACGTGCTTCTACTTATGCTTAATCAGAATTCGAGCAAATACGGATGGTATATCTTGATAGGACATTCCCCTTACCTAATCACTTCAGCGACAACACATTGTGCACAGCAAGTGAAAATATATATAGAAAGAAGTTATGTTCTCCATTTTAAGAGAAAATAGGATATCAGTATATTCACATGATTTCAGATAACGTGACTCGTCTGTTCCTGACTTCTTGAGAATTACATCTACGAATTATACAGTTGCATACACTTGGTTGTATTGTGTTCTCTGAGCTGGGTTGTTTAATCGTGAAGCTTTCATCATCTTGCTAGACGACGTCATCAGCACTAACTTCAGTATGAAGTGAATGAGCTGTCAATATCTCTCCATGAATGATTTAGTAGCTTGCTCTGACGATGTGGTCTGCGATTGGTTGTTTCCTTCTATTGTTGTGTCATTGGTAATATACACTTTCCTGTTGACTGTTCCTCTGCTTCACCTCTAACCTTTCTGTCGTTTATCATTTTTCTTATTGGTTGATAGATCGAGTCTATGTGTATACATCTCTCTATTGATTGTTGACTGACTGACCTGAATGTGAAGCTTCTATGAATTCTCTGACATTCTTTGTGTTTCCTCTTTCTGTGCAACATTTCTACATTGTCGAAATTGAATTTATGTCCATAATTATCCACATGCATTGAAATGAGTGAGGAAATATCGTGGCGTTTAATAGCCAATTAGTGTTCATGTAGACGAAGGCGAAGTTGGAGGCCACTTTGTCCAATGTAATGTTGACTACAGTTATTGCAGTTGATTTTGTAAATGCTATTCGGTTTGTCTTCTTTGGTTGTTGCTTCCTTTGGTTTGCATAATAGTGTTTAGAGAGAATTTGTTGGTTTATGAGCCACACCAATTCCAAGTGGTCCCAGCAATCTTCGACAAAGTGGCCGCCATCTTCGCCTTCGTTGTGAGTGTTCATTTCTCTAGTATGTGAGTCGACATATACACCTGTGATCCATGGTTTAAATTTTGATACTGGGCCATAATTGAAGGTGAAATAAAAATCTAGGTCATGAGAGTATTCTAATCGACGGCATACGAGTTCTCGACCCAACGTTCTACCGACTTATCTCGAGACCTAACTATGCAAACTAGATCTCAAATTCACTTCAGTTGACTATTTAAACGAATGAGTGACAGTATCATAACTTGGACATAGCGCTCAGACCAAAGATGAATGGTATCATTAATCTCAGGTATAAATCTATCTACCTTAAATTCTTCAGCATGTTCTCACTTAGACCATCTTAGAGAAATATACTAGGCAGATATGCATAAAATATGCCTTGTAATATAAAATTATTTAGATCCTTTCTTTACTTGTATAGAAATATCATCTTTAAAAGGAATGTTTTCAAATTTGTTCATTGACTACTTTTGATGTCAATCTAGGTGCTGACACTTTTCAGAACTCTGTATGATACTGTTTCACTTTCTTTGATATATCTCTAAATACGTCAGAGGGCTATCTAATCTTTGTATATCTATCCATCCATGATAAATTTGTTTTCAATGTTAAGGTGATTGACAGAAAATTCTACTCAACCTAAATTTCATGCTTGGTAGCATTCATTCATCAGTAAGGTGTATCTGGAACTGACTGGCTGCAGTCAGTGATGTTATCACTGAGGTATTCTATCTGCAATTGACCTCCTGTAGGAAGATGATTACATAAGATATGTTGAATGGTTGTTGGCGATTGATCAATCAATGAAACTTATTTTCTTTTTGTATGAAATATCTGGTGATAATTGTTGCAATGTTAGTTTGTGTATGTTGAGCATCTGTGCTGTATACTTATATTATGTATGAAATCGATGCTTAAGCCTTCGGTTTTTGATATGATGAACTCACGCTGATCAAACGGTAACTGTTCCATATGTTAAATGAATGAAATTAAAAAACCTGACTGTTATATTCCCACTAAGAACATCTGAACTTAAGAACTAAACAAGAAAAAGAAGATCAAACAATCCAGATACTCAATTATGTATGAAATTGTGGTCAAGGTAAAAAGTAGTCATGATATAATCATCAAATTCGTAAGACAGTTGTAGCTCAGTAGTTTAGGGAGATGGCTACCAACTAGTAATAATAACAATAATAATAGAGTTGACGATGGATAATGGCTTGCAGTGGAGTCCAGGATGCGCGCTTCGTCATACTTGGAACTCATCAGCTGGACGTACTTGTTCCTCAGTCAGTGGTTGTACCCACCGGGACTCGAACTCGGGACCGACCTCTCCACCGAACCATGGTGGCCACTCTTTGTGCAAGTCCAGTTGGGAACAACACTCATTGGGAGGCAGGTAAATCCAACTGATGAGTCCCAAATAGGACGAAAAGCCTGACCTGGATTCCACTGCTAGGCACTATACATCACCAATATATAGTTGAAACACAGGCATCCGCGCAGGTGCCCATATGCTATTAGAGGCTGATCAATTCGGTCGAATCAACGACGAGATAATGTAAGCAATAATAATAATAATAATAATAATAATAATAATAATAATGCTCAACATGAGAGATACCGGTTTACAGGCATTATCAAACTGATAATTTTTGAAAGTATACAAAGTCCTAGTTGGTATTAAATAATTCACATTAGTGTACATCATCACACTAGAACTTGCTGCGATTCATACTAGGGACATGAATTTACCATCTCCGTATACACAGATAGGTTCCACTATTGGACTAAAAAAGCGCATAATATTTGAAGTTTGCGTGATAACTAGCTGAAATTGTTGATCCATATGTGTAGTTTGTTATTTAGTAATATAACCGTTTATTTATTAGGAAACTCTTCAGTTTGTAGGTTGTATACGATCTGAAGTATCAGTAAGTATCCGCAGTTATATAACCAAGGATGAATGTCTAAATCAATACTCTTCCAGTTCATCATGTTACATATAAATGTTAATATACATCAATTCTACTGGGAATACTTGTGATGCATAGAAATAGACATTTGAACAGTAACCGTCCAAATGACAGTAATTATACACAGACTTCAGGCACTTTCCATATTAATGTATACAGCATTATTCAAGGAGTATATTTGCTGTTCAGTGACTTACATTTGATGAGATTACTTGGTACAGAATAATATGAAACTCGTAGTGTTGAGAAACTCTGGTCATTTCTTCGTCTGAAGATCCTGGCCAGTAGGTGAGTTAATTGTGAAGATGTAGCAAAAACCACGAAAGATTCAGAGCAGTCTAAGAATTCTTGATATCATGAAGCATGTATTATTTCCAGTAAGTAGTTATGTTCAAAATGAAGTTCAGTATCAAGCTCATCGAGCTATTACTGCAAAGACGGAAAAAAATGTATCACGGGTTCGAACCCCGCTTCTTGTAGGTGGATAGGTAGTATCACTAGTCGTCAAACAATAGGTGTCGCTCATTGCATACTGTCTGAATGTACACAAGGTGGCTGAGTACGTATCGGTCGTTTTCATTTAAATTTGAAATGATCAGTAATGGAGTTTGAGAGTGGTGTTAAGTGGTAAGTCAATAATTTTTTTATCAAGAGATGTAGTCGCTGGCTCGAATCCTGCCGCGGTGCAGATTTTCATCTCACCTTCAATCATCACCCCAGCACAGATCTTTTTTTATATTCACTGTAACAAGAATCCAATCTGTTTTCTTTCTTTATAGATGTATCAGAGGACAGAAATACTACGCCAAATGCGTCACACAGTCGTCTACCTGACAGTACAAACCGATCAACAGAAATTCATCCTCATGTAGATTCTGTACACAAAGATTCCCTTCAGCATATAGTACCATTGTTACCTGTTGTATATCCTGTTCCATCAGTGAATAATAATAGTAGTAGTAAAATTAATTCTCAGCATTCACATCGTAGTTCTGCAACTAGCAACAGTATCAGTAGTAGTATTACTTCGCATATACGTAATACCAGTCGTAGTCGTATAAATCAACTCCTTGGTATTACTAGTCGTATTGCACTAAGTCCAGTATTGAAACGTGCATCACTTCAACCAAGTCGTCCGCTTATTTCTTCATCTAATCATCGTCGTAATAGTAGTAAATCGAAATTATTCAATTCAGGATCAGAGGATGAGGATGATAATGCTACTACGCCTAATAATGATTTTTGCAATGACAGTGGAATAGAAGGAAGTCATTCGAAAGTATTAGGCACTTCATTTTATTCAGATGCTGCTAATATTTCAATAAAAACACGGAATTTAGTCTATGCTTCGATTGTTTTCGATGAATTTTGTTATGAATTAGCGTCGATTTGTTATGAGCATAGCTTAAATCCCTGTATTCCCTCCAGTTAGTGTGATAAATACAACATTATACTGACAATACAACTAGCATGCAGTACTACTTGGTTATTTCTCAGTTTATTCTTGATTCCATCTCTACATAAATTGAACTACAGATATTTATAATTTCAATATTTTTCTATTCTCCTATCCTCTTTGTTTTTTTCATTGCCAGTCATTACAAATTCTCGTCTCTATTTTAAATCCCTCTGACATTTCTTCTTTTATCCTCTAGTATATACAGCTTGAATCTAATTTTATTTCAAGATGGTTCTTGTTTTTTTTTTTTCTTACCATTACACATTTTGATAATCCGCGTTGAATCTTTTTTCTAGATACAAACAAAACAATATTGATTTGTTCAATTTTCAATACTGTCAGTATTATATACTGGTTACAGCTCTCAATGAGTAAAAATAAACAAACGACATGATGTTTACAATGTATTTATTACAAGATCATTATTTTTAACCTTCTAGTAGCATGATTTTCTGTAAATACTACAAATATATATATTTTTCTTGTCTTGGTTATTTTTCTCTCTTTTTATCTCATCACAACTATTTTTCCTTGTTGTTATAATCTTTGTTGTTTATTTCACTAAATATCTGTATGTATTAAGATTATCTTGTTCAAAGAATCAAATTTGAATATTAAACTCAAGGCGCCATTATTCCTGTCTTTTGTTCAATTGATTTTAGTTTCTAAAAAAAAAATCAGTCCAAACTATGCTTTCTGGATAGTCTTTTGTGATTCTGTAGTGTTTTTCTCCCGATTTATAGCTGCTACGTTGAGTTGGCAGTCGGATTTGTGCATCACAATGACCCAATGAACTACACTGACTGGGACGGTCTTTCTCTCAAGGTCCTACTATGCCAGAAAGTTTTGTTAGATAGTGATTAGACAAAAGACAATTACTGTTATAGTGGAAATTGCTACGCTGTGATGAGATTCCGAGGGTGAAGTCGTACTGCTAGCTGGCTGGAGTATGACAGCAGCAAGGTGTTTCCTTTCCATGATGGTACTGCTTTCTCTTTGGACAGAGGTGGTTAAAAAGTTTGGCCCCAAAAATAGCACACTCCTAATTGCTCTGAGGTGGTATGCCGATGATATATGTTTCCTGTATCCTGCATTAGAACAATCAGTTCGAAAACCGGTAGTCCTAAAAACTCTGTATTTGACAGGCCTCAAGGGGATGTTCTATAGGCTGTGTTCACACAAATCTTTTCTTCTTTCGGGTACCCTGCGGAAGCAATTCCCACGGTGTGAGTAGCTCGAAAGTATCAGCCGCACGAACATTGCCAGTAGTATACCAGATCCCATCCTCTGTCTTCTCGTTTATCTTTACTACTTGATACTAATATCGACCCCTTACAACCTCTCACTTTGCGACCACCGCTAACGATTGAAGCCATCGAAACCTCATTCCAAGTCCCCTGACACCCCACCATCGATTTAATATCGGAGCTTTCAACTTTCGAATTCTGTGCCTGATTGGACAGCAAACACCTCTCACCAGAACTCTGGAATCTCGAGCTGTGGATATATGCTGTCCTTCTGAGACACATATACCGGACCCGAGTGTTATTAAATTAACCTCATGTGGTCAGTGCGCTGAATCTCCAAAATTCACTCCGTGATAAACCGGCGATTCAAAGGCTAACCCTCATGGTTCACTGGTGTGGGGATAGCATTAGTTTGTAGCGCGGAAAGTGCGCTTCCCGGCTGGATACTAGCCAATAGCCATTTATGTGCTGCTCAACTGAATGGATCTGTAAGGACTAAGAAGGATAGTGAGACTAGACGGTGGCCACTCGTAATCGCTGCCTACTCACCCATCGACTGTACCTCGGATGATACAAAGGGATTCTATGAGATGGTGTTAACTTTGCTACAGAAAGCGAAACTTTCAGATTTAGTCATAATGGCAGGTGAGTTTTGCACCCAAGATATCATTGGAAGGGATCGGTGAAGGACAGCCGCTCTTTCTGGAGTATTTCTTTGGACTCCAATCAGACACTAGTACATGCTCATGTATGTCTGTGCTTTATTGGTCATCGGAAATAGACAGCAGTGAAGCCTATCTGTTCTCGATTGGGGGATGTGGACATGAATTACGTATTTAGGGAGAAGACATCTAAGCATTGATATGAATACGACAACAGTTATCTGTCTAATGAAGCCTAACGTGATATTTAGTGTGCTGTAAAAACAGCAGTAAAGACGGCGACCCGAAGGTTAGAAAACCTTATTGGATTCCCTCGACGTCATCCGAACTGACTGGTACGAGAACACTCATTCCAGCTGGCTCTGACCACGATGAAGAGTGAAAACAATCTAAACGTGTGTTGACGAAACTTCTTCACGTCGACTTCGAGTAGTGAAGGCGAAGCGAGAGAGACTGGGAAGGCACCAGCACTGGGTAGCACTTGGGAACTAATTGGGCTTATTAAGGATACCTGCAAGAAGAAGACGATAGCGAGTGAGACCATCATCGAAAAGGATGGTACCCTGATAACTTCTTGAGATAGAAAACTAGAACGTTACATGGGGTACCTTGAGGCAAAGTTCAGCAGGCCCCCAGCAATACTTCAGTTGTCCTCGAAGTTTAGGTAACTGTACAGAACCTGAAACGAAGTAAAGCAGCAGAACCTGACAGTTTGTTACTAGTAGTTTTTGAGGAAGGATGTAAGAAATTGTGGATTAGAATACCAGTGGTCCTATGGGAATCAGAGGTACTCCCGTAGTTTTGTTTACTTTGTTGATCACTACAGTGTATAAGAAGGGAGAAAGGTCTTCCTGTGACAACCATAGGGAATCAGTCTGACCAACCTAATGTCCATGTCTGTCCGACAACTAAATGAAGCTCATGAGTAGCAAATACGAGGAAATCACGCAGGTCTCAGATCAAGACGAGGGTGCATCGATCAGATGACCGTTAGACAAGTTTTGGGAGACAGGCATAATTAATGGTGGCCGACACTCCCCATATTTCTTGACCTGAAGGCGACATTCGACTCTGGTGACCGTGAGATGGTGTGGCAGTGTCTGGTAGTGAAAGGAGTATCGAGCAACTATACAACGCTAGTCAAGACTCTCCACTCGAACTCGAGGAGGCGTTTGATGGATTATGTATGATTGTCACCTTAATTGACTACAACTAGTAGTATCCCCCAGAGTGGTCTCCTGTCACAGTTCCTTTTTAACTTGGTTGCGCGTGCACTAATAGGCATAACCTTATGTGCGTCTTACTTCACATGGATTGATCTGATCCGTGGAGGAAATTCCGTTGACAGACTATATTTTTTTACAAGGTGAAGACGCTGACAAAACGCAGGGCCTTTTGAACGCTCTGAGCAGGAATTTAAGTATGTTTGACTAACATGCATTTTGTACCGGTCAAATGTAAGATGATACTTCAGGGCTGATCTAGGAGCACTTCCAGGAAAGTAGTGGAGTGGGTCGACTACTTCACTTACTTAAAGTTACATCGGTACGTATGAATAAGTTGTTTGTCGGCGAAATCACAGCTCAGGTACAGGGGCATCTTTAACACTCGCCAAACTGCGTTATCTTTGGTGCCTGCTAGATATTTTTTTCCGCTGCAGTTCTCCTTGTCCTGCTACGCGGCTTTAGGTCATGTCCATTGGAAGTAGATGTTTCAGTTTGCGAACAAATGTTTCCTAGTAGCATGATTCGCGTATTGTTGAAACAAACTGTGAGCAATATCGAGGTTTGTCAAAAGGGACTAGACAAGGAAGAAGTCAGTAGATGTGGATATGAAACGTAATCAAGCTAGTTGCCTTTAATATGTGTTACCCATGCCTAATCACCATCTACCCCGTCACACGATGTCACCTAGAGTAGGTTGGGAACGGAAAATGTCACAGGTGTCCAGACTACAACGTGACATCAGTCCATAAAGTATATGAATGTTGATTTGGACCACGCGGAAATGTAGACTTCTGTTTTGCCTTGCATTACATAAAAATACTTTGGTTGAGGAATCTAAGTTATATGACTCCGGATCGATGTCAATAGTGCATATGCATCCATATATCATCTTCATCTTCATCATCATAATGAATCGCAGTATTCTCGCATTCATCTTCACCGTCTTTCAATGACTTTCTCCTACTCTGACTACTTTCATCTACATTTCTTGATCTTCTGTCTTAGTGCATTCCCACCTAATTTCCTGGCTTTAAGTGTTGCAACCTAGACCGCTACGAGTTATACGTTGATTTTACCTGTCTAATCGTTTGCTTCAATCTTTAGACGTCGCTGCTATATGAATTTTTGCCCCTGCTACGCTAATAAGATACGAAGTAGAATGAAACTCCCAGTCTTCTGAAGCTTTGGCTATATACTACATCCGACTGTCTATCATAGGGTGAGTATACTGTCCTACAGTCGGTTCTCTCCTATTGTACAGCTGTGAGACGTGACCATTAAAAGTAGGAGACATGAAGTGGTTACAGGTGTTTGATCATAGCTTTCTTCGTCGCACTGCTTGTGTTCGGTGGAATCACTGTATGAACAATGTTGAGGTCAGGCAAAGGATAGTAGGTAATCAAGACAAGTCAACTGACGAGGTTGTGAACTTTCATCGAGTGAGACGACATGGACATGCACGGTGACCGCCTACCTCTACGTGCCTTGCTGGGGAAAGTTGGATTTCCTTGGAAAAAGGTTCAGAATGGCCATACCAACACGTGACATCAGTCTATGAAGTCTATGAACGTTGATTTGAATCATGTATGACGATTTCGACTACCTATCTGGGTTTTTTGAGACGAAAGGAATCAGTGGTTGCGGACACTTTGTGAAATGGCTGAAATCAGTCAGAATGCCATAGATGTCTTCAGTAATTGACATCTTTTAAAGCTTGAGTGTTCACACTTACCTTTATCTTCAAATTTTTTACTCTCTAACACTACTTTATCTACTTTTCTATCACTCCTTTTCTATCCACCTGTTCTTTGTTTGTTACTGCGAAGTGTGGCAATTTC